ATTGGTTGCCATGTTTCTTACATGTCTCTACCTAATAGATATTTTTGCCTGTGTCGCTAGAGCCACTTATATACTTGAATAGAAGCCTTTCAAATGACCTGAGGTGATGGATGCAGGTCAGGATGGAAACTGCTGGGGAGCAGCTCAAGAGGCAAGAAAAGTTCAAATCAAAAAACGGCATAACCCTCAGCTGACTAATGTTCCTAAGGTTGATATCTGGTTTTTAAGCTTCCAATTGTGATCCAAACATTTGCTCAATGGGTTAGAAAATTCTTATATATTGATGAAGAATAACATAAGTCATTATTCTAAATGAACAAAGTCTGGCACAACTTCATTTCGCAGCGTTGATAACACCAGTCAGAAAGTTTAAGATTATAGTATGTTTAAAAGATGTAATCTTGGGGGAGAAACTAAATAATTTCAGATTTACAATTTCTGTTTTTTTCAAAATGTCTTTGGGATTCGGGATGATAGAGTATGAACATGTAGCCAAGTTACCTGATGACATTTAGAAGGGCTAAAACTGAAATAATTTGCTGTGATTCTAATTAATAAAATTTTGTCTCCAATAAAGAGGAGTTGGAAAAAGTTGTAATCAGAAGCTATTTTAACAGTGAAGTATTTTATTTCTTTACTATTATGTTATTCTTATACATTTTCCTAAGGTCTACATTTGTGTGACCGTTTTTTTTAATAATCCTTTTGCAACAGAATTTTCCCATTATGGGACAATAAAGGGATTTCTATTCTATTTAAGATACTTGAGCACCCTCTGTTTAGCTGAGATGTCTGAAGTAAAAGCTCTGCTTTATTTAAAGCTAAGATATTATTTTCAGGATTTTTTTTCTGAAAATGTCGTGTAAATTTATAAATATAGAAAAATTTTTTAGAAGTTGACCAAAGTGCTTTAAATTCAGTAAAACATGACAGTTAAACAGTATTAAACAAAAGAAGAATGCAAGAATCGATTGAAGTATTTCAACAAAATGCACAATGAATGTATTCATCTTATAAATCAAAACTTCCATTTTTACCTTCTTTCTAGTTGAGAAAATATTGTAGCCAGAAATGTGTACATCTAAAACAATTGTGTGGAATAATTCTGATCCCTTTTTAGATTCGCTGTTTTACTGATTAAATGCAGCAGGAAAATATAGGAGAATATAGAAAGATTATAATTAAAGTTAATAAAGCTTAGAACGTAGCTCAGAACAGAACTCTGTGGAATTTATTCTTATAAGCTACTGAGAATGATATCAAGTTAGATTCTGCAACAGAATTACTTCGACATGACAATCAGGAAGTAAATCATTCTGGGGCTACACACATCAATATGAGCTTTTAGCTCTAACTGAATCTTCTGTTTTTTCTTTAGAATTCAAATGCAGACTCAAATGAACTAAGAGAAAAAAATTTGTCTGCCTAATGCTTAAGAAGCAACTATGAAAAAATGTATATGTACATTTTAACTATGCAAGACAACATAAAAAAATAGATTAAAAAGCTGAGCCAAAAGGAACACGTAGCTAGCAGCATCCTCGAAATGTAGTGGAGTGAAAGTTATAAGTACCCCCCCAAAAAATTACTCAAGTAAAGATATTGGGCTGCTCAGTGGGGCAGTGGGTATTGCTGCCATGCGGCAAGAAGGTCTGGGTTTGATTCCCGGGTCTTTCTGCATGGAGTTTGCATGTGTGGGTTCTCTGCATGTTACTCCGGCTTCCTCCCACAGTCCAAAAACATGACTGTTAGGTAAATTCTCCTTAGGTGTGTGTGTGAATGGTTGTTTGTCCTGATTGTCTCTATGTTGCTCTGCGATGGACTGGCAACCTGTCCAGGGTGTACCCCGCCTCTTGCCCCTGGACGGCTGGAGATATGCACCAGCGACCCCGCTCGGGATAAGCATGACGCAAAATGCATGCATGCAAGTAAAGATATTCTAAAATATACCTAAGTACAGTAATTAAGTAAATGTAGTTTGTTACTTTCCACTATTGCCAGAGAGCATACTGATGATCCAGATAAGGGGTGGGAGGATATTATGTGAAGAAAATGAAATAGAGTTTTTTGTCCCTTTTCAGAAGAAGAAGAAGAATGAAGAGTTTATTCCCAAGAACAACCAGCCTACTGTGAAGCATGGTGTTGGAGGGGCTGTTTTTCTGCAAAATGAACAGGACAACCAATTCATGTAAAGGGAAGAACGTATCATGAGCCAAAATTTCCTATCAGTGAGATCAGAATACTGAGTGTAACCCTAACAAACACAACACTCATTCAATTAAAGAGCTAGTCCTGAAACAAATTTCTGGCCTCGCCAGTTTTCAGACTTCAACTCACAGAAAACAAATGGATGGAGTTGAAAGTCTGTGTTGCCCAACAACAGCCCCAAGAAATCCCAGCTTTGGAAGAGATCTGTATGAAGGAATGGGCCAATACACCATCTACAGAAAGTACAAACGTGAGGACTTACAGGAAACGTTTGACCTCTGTCATTGCCAACAAAGGTTATGCTGCAAAGTTTTGAGTTGAAGTTTTGTTATTGACCAGAAACGTATTTTCCACCACCATTTACAAATAAGTTCTTTAAAAATCCTACAGTGAAGGATATTATCATTAGAGTATTATAAAACAACAACAGTTGACAGCATATTAGTTCCACTTGTTCTTTTGTTTGAGGTGCTGCTGATACAAACCAGCTGGAGAAGGAAATGTGGAGCGTACCATCATTGAAAGACTGATGGGGGAGACTTGTTTCAAGAAGTTTTCAATTAGTTTGTCACTTAAATACTCATTTATTGTTTCTGTTAAGTAAGTTAGTTTTGCTTTATTTGTTTCATAGAATGGTTAATTTTGTATTTATTGGTTCTTTTGTTATGTTGTGCCTCCCTCATTTTGTCGACTTGGGTTACTCCATCCCTTTTTAAGCAGCCTTTAGTTCTTTGTTTGAAGGTCAGTTTTTTGTTTGAGTTGGATCCTCAGTTGACCTCAGTTAAGTTGGGCCCAGATTCTGTATTTAAGTTATTTTGTATTGCTTTTGAGCCTTTGTTAACCCTTTTCACACAATTAAATGGAAGAACCTTTTCAAATTTTGAACACCTTTTGTCCTTATTTAAGTTGGGTCCCTCACAATCTTCATATGCTGATATATTGCCATTTAAAAACACCATATCAATCTCTTTTACTAATGAAATATTGCTATATGTCATCGTTATGCTACGAAATCCCCCGAAAATTCACGAAATTTTGCCATATTTTTATATGTTGATATATTGAAGCGGTATTGATCTATTTCACTAACACAATCTCACAAGAATTTGCAAAATATCACAAGAGTTTGTAACAGAACGATGAAATTTCACGAGATTTTGAAAGTAAAATAGATTGATACCGCGTTTTTAAAAATCAATTTGATATCAGCATATGAAAATATATTTGAGTATATTATTGTGTCAGAAATGGATAACAAAACTGCTATTTTCAATGACTACTTATTTTTGTCCAGCTTTAACATCGGTATCGATATCGGTTATCGGCTACATGAGTTTTAAAATATCGGCATATCCCTATTATTAATTAAAATTACATCAGATTAAAACGACTTCTAGGTGGCTAGATAGGAGGATCTATAATATAGAGTGGCACAACAATGAGAAATATAAGTTTCACTTAGCTGCTGATTTGATTTAAGTAGACCCATTGTAAACATGAACTTCTGAAAGCAGGGTTCTGATTTGAAATGAAATGTATGTCTTTTATTAATTTTGACAGTCAGATGATGCTTCTACTCTGTTAGAAAACAACAAAATAATCTATGCTGTGTTCTCAGCTTTATCTAGATTCAGTTAGTAATTATTTGTAATTATGTACAGTACATACTGATATATTTCTTTTATGCCAACGAAGGACAGTCAAAACAAGCAGAAATGTATAAAGTGTTTTTGTTTTATTATTTTAAAAAGTAATTTGGTTATGGTGTCCTTTTTATTGCTTATATACTTACCTCTAAAAATGTCTGTGAACACACCTGCCTGCTAATATATGTACGATTAGAACAGCCCAGCTACTGACTGAAGCATCAGAGATCCCAATGAAGGCTCTGGAGAAGCTGCACATATGGGCAGCTAAGGCAGGACAATCTGGTAACTAGGCAACTATTGGTCATGGACAACACTAATGAGGCCGTGATTAAAACAGTTAAAGGAAGAAAGATGTGAGACATTACAGCAGCTTTTTAACACAAGCCATTTGAAAGAATGTCATTTTTTCAGATTAGATCAAAATGTTTGGAATCAAACCCCAGATGGCTGTCAGCTTCTGTATATGAGGCAACCCCTCTCACTGTATAATTTACAGAAGGAAGTGTATGTACATTTCTATAATTCACTGTTGCTAAATCAAAAGGATGTGTGTTCTGTAAATTGATCCATTTACAGCTGCAATAGATTTTTATTTTCTTTTTTGTAAATGCAGCCAACGAGAAGGATTGGATTGTAACAGCTAAGGTTGCCACATTCAGTGGGCAGTTGTCTGCTGTGATGTGTGAAACAGCAACAAGCGCCAAGCAGATAATTTGGTCTCTCAACATTGTAACACCCACATTCCACTCACTGATATTTTTAGACCTGCTTTACTCTCTTAAACATCGTAATGCATATTTTCTAAATATAAACTCAATAACCTTTATATAAGCACACAACCTATTATTAGTTTACACATGCTCTAGATAGATCTGAGACTCATAAAGCAGTATTTATCTGACTGATTTAGTGGTTCCAAATGCAGAGAAACAATTGGCCCAAATTTCAGCAGATCTGATGTGATCAAAGCCTCCTCCAGCTGTCCACTGGCCTTCTCTGCCCTCCACCTTACACTCCCCTTTAATCCCCGGAAGCTTCTCTGTCTTCCTGTTTCACAGCCCTCATCCAGTTGCACCATCAGCTGTGCCCTTCCAGACCAGAATGCCTTCATGTCTGCGCTCGCAGCTTCACAGCGACACTCACCACAGTGCCAGCGTTTGTGCCTCCTTCGTCTTCTTGCTCTTTTACCCAGCCTGTCCTCCTGGCCTGATGTTTACAGGAATAGAAGGAAAAACGGGAGGGAAACAAGGCATTTAAAAGGGCTTTTAGATTATGAAGAGTAAGATTAAAAACTAGTACAAGCAGAATAACCAGATGGGGTCATTTCATTTTTTTTTTTTTATTAATTAATGTTCAGAACCACATCTTTCAAGCACTCCTTTTAATCTATGTATATATACTCTAATTCCTTCCAGGCCTGTAATCAATCTGGTCTTTACTCACCAACCAAGCCATCAGCATGCAGCCAAACAGGCTCATCATTGTCATACACATGACGAGTCTGTGCATCAGGTCAAGTTACTGGTGGCTTAAACATGAGCACTAGGGATCGCTAAAGTCTCAAGCTGCCACACATTTGTTTCCCTTGTAGACAAGGTCACTCACTAAACGCCTGATCAACTACTTTGCTGCGAGTCAACTCAGTCATTTGCTCCTTCCCACAACTTTTCTGTCCACCCTGATTCTCTCAATCCCTTCTCTTCTACCTCTATTTTTAACCGGCTTAGCAGCGCTGAAGGGATGAGAGCTTTATTCTCTGCCTTATTCCTCACTCTTGGCTACCTGGCTGCCAATTCACAAGGTCCACTAATCCTGTAATGGGGCAAATACTCAGAACAGTTCTATTAGTAACGGTGTATATGCCTTGAGCGTTCTCAGAAAAACGTTCCCTTCGGTTACATATAAAAGCCTCTGAATTCTTTGACAGTCATGGGAAATGAAAACACTGCAGCCAGTGTGCAAAAAGCATAGAGATCCGTTACCGTAGTTCTAATTTAGTTGCAAACACACTTTTCAGAAAGTATCGACTTTGTAATAGAAAAACCACAAATGGTTTTGGATTGAGGATATGAAGCATAAAGGGACTGAGTTTATATAAAGTGCTTTACTAGTCATCTGACCACTCTCAGCACTTTACATTACAGCTACATTCATTTTATCAGTCTCTCAAATGCCCAAATATTCACAGACTAATGTGCAGCTCAGGGGGAAGAACTGAGCGCAAGGGTGCATTGACTTGTGGAAACTGGAATCAACCCTTCTATGTTCAGATCGGAAGAAGACCCTTGTACCAGTCTCATCTATTACAGATTTATTCTCCAGGTTTTCTCACCATTTCTGGCTAGTCCATCTTTCCACCAACTGTGACCAGTTTCCTTGTCATTACTGAAAAAAAACTTTCCCAAAAATGATGCCTCTGCTTTCAAAATGTTTCCATAAAAGAGGATTGGTTTGCTTAGTATAATGTTAGTTTTGGCCCCACATGACATATTGCATGTGAGTCAAAGAGTAAGATGGTCTCATTTGACCAGAGCATCATCTGTTTGCTGAGGTTGTTTCGTGACCTGAGGCAAAATATAAATCTGACTTTGTGGCCCACTGTAAAGGCCAGAGTTGTGGATTGAAAGGCTAATAGTTAGCAAGTTGTTTTAACCTGGTTCTTTAATCCACATTGGAGAGTTCTCAGAGTGCAGCAGAAAAGAGAAAAACACTTTTTAGGTTTTAAGACAATTTATTGATGTCAAGTATAACAAATCATTGATGAAAATTTGACCTCAGGCATGCATGACCACTGCTCCAGTGGCGGAGGAATGTTTTTCCAAAAGCCCCGGGTCTACTTTTGAGTCTTTTTTTAAAATTAAACTTAAAAAAAAACCTTACTTCACACGTTGTAACATTCCTCCATAATGATTTCTAGAGTTTATCAATATTTTCCAAAAAAACCTTTGAAGCCCTTGTGAAATAGCTGGATCTATAGGCCTCAGATCACAGGTCAGCCTATATTCTTATTAAATTAGTTCTTAAGGTAATCAGTGTTGGTGGATTTTATTTATCATCTCCATAGTGTGTCTAAAAAGAAATATATATTCTGTTTTTTCACATAGGCATTTTTCAGAAATTGAAAATCAGCTTTGAACAAGAGCAACACCAAGGAGAGACATTAGCATTGATCTTAGAGAAGCAATACTGTACATATAAAACCTGATACCTTAGCTTCATGTCTTCCATTTCCTCTTTGAAGGACTCTAGTGACACTAGCTCTAAGGAAATAACATAAGAGAGAAGGACATTATAGAAGAAAGCAAGTACAGAAGGAAGAAAAGTGAACAAACTAGAACATGTAAGGGAGTCAGAGAAAACAGGGATGGAATGACACAGAAAGGAATATAAGAGGAGTAATGAAAGAAAAAAAGGAAGTGGAGATCAGAAAGAAAGTGAAAAATACAACAGGAAAAAAAGAGGTAAGAATGAAGGGCAAGGTAAGATAAGAAAGTAAAGACATGAGGACAAAAAGTAAAACATCTGCAGACAAGTTTACAGAGAACTGAAGGAAGGACATTAGGACATAATAATGCATTAAAGGACTGAAGGGGGTAAGGAGCAAAGGAGAGGCAATATTGTAAGATAGAAAGAAGGACCAAAGAAATAAAGCAAAAAAAAAAGTGTGGAAAGGAATTACAACTTTTGATATTTGGACAGGGATTAAGGTCTTACAAGTAGAAATATTTCCCTCTCCCCATCTTTTCGTTTCCTTATTCATCCATGCATAGAAAATGAATAGGAAGCCTCAATGGCCTTCAGCTCCAGGAGACATTATGTCAGCAATCGACCTATTAGGCATTCAGTACTTCGGAGAAGCGTTTTTGTTCATGTGTGACCAGAATGCAGGCAGAGGGGTAGCAGACTGCAGAGTCATGGTGTGTAGCTAGCCTTCATTTGCAGCAGCAGCAGCTCGGGCTAATCTGCAGGCCCAGGCTCATTCAGGACAAAGAAGCACACCGTACCAATTAATACTGATAAGCTGCAACACATCGAGCTGAGAACATACACACACAAGTCACTGGTGTTAGAGAGATATCTGCATAATCCCTAAATTCTGCATCTGTAGCGATTGTTTGGTGTGGTTAAAGTGAGTAAACTGGATCACCTTGATCTGAAAAACAGAAAAAACCTTTTCTAGTGTTGGAGTGGGGGTGGTATACTAAAGGAAAAGAAGCTAAAGATAGAAAGTGATGAGTCAGACAAGATAAAGGAAAGCACCAGAATAAGAGTACGCCAACATATAATTTGAGCCACTGCAGTACTAATGCAGCATGTGAACTGTAGCCTCGCCATGCACCATATTCCTTTATTTCCTGATCAATGGCACAAAACGACACTCAAAACAGCAACAGCACACTTCTAAGATGGGTGTTTTCTGTGTCAGTCATTAGCAGGTTACAAGCATGGCTAGACTCTTCAGCAGTGTCCCTCACTCAGTAAATACTGCCCTCACGTGGCGAAGACGTGAAACAAAAAAAGCGTGGGCGTGACAAGTCATGCTGCAATGAACACAAAAAGCTGAAAAATTATTTGGGCTACCTTAAATTTTGTTTTTATTGAATCAATAACAGTAAATTTCAAAAATAAATTTGCATGTAAAATATGAATTAAAGCAGTAGCTTTCAAGCATTAAAATCACCTGTTATAGATAAAAAATAAAATACGAAAATCCCTTGTGGCACCAGCACATACAAGCAAAGAAATTCAATTAAATTCAAAAAAAGGATGATAAGTTAAAAATATTTAACACATTACATTTGGTGTCAACCCCTTGACCTCTTAAAAAAATCCCTACTCCTCCATTCCTTCATTAGAGATTTCTTGCAACATATTTGTGGTTTTAATCCAAATTTGAAAAAATTCAACTGAACACACAAAGTAGATAGTGATAAAAAAAATATATATATACAAATGTTTTTCAGTGTTTACATGTGGTAATGCATTTAGCAACAGTGTTTTTCATTCTATGGCTTTAAGGACGGACAGAAGGATGTAAAAAGACTGTTGCATAAAAAACAAAAGCAAAAAACATTCCTTTAAGGCTGTCTGACCATCTTAATCTAAAAGCCTACAAGAAAAAGAAAAAAAATCTGCAAGAAAATGTGTTAAAACATGATAAGACAGCAGTTTAAAAACCTAATGTCGTCACGGTCTGTGGCTCTCGTCTTGGCATTGCCTGATTAACTGCAGCTAATGGCTTCTCCACATGATGCCTGGTTCACACCGACTTCATGCCAGCTGGGCCTGAGAAGCAACAGATGCAGCTACCAGGATTTATTGGGCTTCTGCTAACCAAGTTACATCTATAACCACAGCAGGTAGGAATATTTAATATTCTGAAACATCTCCCTGATAAAAAGGCTTATACAAGAAGTGTGATAACCTGAACATAGATTGGAAATGTTCAAGTATGCTGGAATATCAAATATCCAGGTATTTTACATTCTTAGATGTACACTACAGTTTGCATCAGGCTCACCATAAACAAGCAACACCTCCAAATATATACACACAATACAGACTGCTGACAACATGGCGGAAAATATTCACATTCCCAAAAATATGACTCTCAAAAAGAGTTAAATCATGTTTTTTTCACAAACAGAAATGCGTCCAATCATCCTTTTAAACATCCAATAGTTTTATGATTCTTAGACGATCATGGCAGACGACACAAAGCTCTCTCCACGACCGATGTAAGAGCCCCCGTTATAGTCCTGGGGGCCACTGTCTGTACGCATGTAAGGAGGCGGGACATCATGGTTCACAGGGTCATCCCAACCTGAAGGGGCAGAAGAGAAGTAATGCTCTCCATCGTGTGCTCCAAGATCCCCATCAACGTCATCTTCCAGGTACCCATCGAGGTCCTGCCAATGACAAAGGTAATGTAAGCAAATGAAAAATAAAAAAATAAAAAAGAAAACAACAACCACATCTTATAATGAATGGAAAAAAAATATGTTGTGCATCAAATGACTCAAACCTCAAGATTATAAAGATTAGGAGTGCTTCTAAACACACATGAAGCATAGCTTGGTTACTACTAGATCCCTGGGAATGGAAGTGGTCCCCCACCCTTTAACAACTGCAAAAGACCTGCAGAAAGTCTTGGTACCAGAAACCCTGAAGGGATGAAGAAAGCTGAAAGTACCCAACTTAATGCCCACAGACTGCAAGTCTGGGTACACAATCAAGACCCTTTGCCCTTAGATCGCTCCTGATCACTTATAGATGGGTTAAAAGCAGAAGAGGAATTTTGTCATGTGTATAATGGATGACCAAGTAATTTCATTATCATATTTGAAAAAATGAAATAAGCCAGACAGGTTCGACGGTTTCTGTTCTTTGGAGCAATGACTTCAATTCAGAGCTTCTTGGAACTGTGGGTCAGTGGTTTTACACGACAAGAAGGCTACTGATGCATACAATGTAATTTAATTAAATGGATGCTTAATTTTATAATACAGAAAAACTCAGATTCTAAATGTGGACATAGTTGTTAATTATCAGGCAATTTTTATATTG